TGTGTGTGTGTGTGTGTGTGTGTGTGTGTGTATATATGTATATGTATGTGTGTAGAAATGAAGACAGCCTGACTCCTAACATACTTCATCAAATCAAGTTTCAGTTTTTTTTTCTGGATTAACAGTTTCAAGCTGTCTTGAACCTAAAAAGTCGAGGTTTTAAACATGGAGTCAATTATTACTTTGACATTCCAAACATTGTTGTTCAACGTTTTCCTCCTATCCCTATCTGTCTTTACCCCATGCCCTTGTTGGGAGTGAGGTCAGGTACGGATTTTCCAGCCATGACTGAGCACTTTAGCAGACAGCCTAATGCAGGAAGAGGCGGGGCCCTTTCACTTCTTATTTCCTGTGCCACAGGAAGCACATTCCTCAGCAGCTGGCACTTACACAGTAGTTAAAGAGCAGAGCGTAGCTGTGGCGTCAGGCCAGCCTCCCAGAATCTCTTAGCCTTTCCCATAGGAGCAGGCTGAGATATTTTTTCTTGCGTGTTTTCATGAAAGAAAATAAGACAGATAGAAGGAAGGAGTCGGATTTAAAGCTCTTTCAACTCCTAAAATATTTATCATTTTCAAAATAGTGGATGTGACAAGAATATTTGTTCTGTTTTATAGACATGATGAAGGCAACTAAAGGTCATGAACAAATGAAAACTGCCTTTTTAATCAAACAGCTGGTTTAAAATAAATAAACCTCAAATGTTAAACTAAGACTTTGTCACATTAACAGAGACAACGGTACAAAAGAGTTGGACACCTATAGGTGTCTTTGTGTGAAAGCTTTATTCATACAGCTTTTCATAAAGCTGACATGTTTTTAATTAAACTATCCCCTTTGTCAGTTCTTTTAAACAGACATTTGCCATGACTTCAGCTGGTTTTATTAGATTTACTATAAATTAAACCCGTATATTGACACTTTTTTATTAATATTATTATTATTATTAGTCAAGTCAAGTCAAATTTTATTTATATAGCACATTTACAACAACCTCAGTTGACCAAAGTGCTTCACAGCAATCATATCACGTTTAACTGATTTAGTTTATTA